TGATGTGTCTTTTTTCTGAATTTATACAAACACCATTTCATTTTTATTACTATTTAACTTGTTTAAATTTAAACTAATTTTTTATTTTAAACTAAGTTGCAAATAAATCTTAAACTGAAACTTTGCTTGTTCACAGTAAGTTATTTCAGAGCCACTTGGTTCTACCTAATGGAAATTGCCTTTAGTGTATTGTGCTTATGATAATTCCAATAGTCATCAGCGTCACTAATTAATGACATTCTATTAAAAGACTGGTTTACCAAGAGAGACACTGGAGTATTTTCACCTAAAATGAGTTGATAAAGCAAGAGTTTTGTTACAAAAATGATAATAGGACATCAGAGTCATAATTAATCTTTTAGTACTTTCACTTTTGATACTTAAGTACATTTGAAGGCAAATACTTTTGTACTTTTTCTCAAGTGGAGGTCTAAAGGGAGGAACTTCTACTCTTACTGGAGTAATATTTTACCTTGGGTATCTCTACTTTAACTCAAGTACATGGTTTGTGTATTTCGTCAATCACTGGTGATTAATATGATTTAATTTCATGATAAGTAATTGTTCAGTTAGCAAACTAGTTGGCTTCTCATAGCTAAGACCCTCCTTTGCACTGTGACATCAGGAAAGTGCATGACTTATAAGACACCACCAACTGAAACAGTAATTTTTTAGCTTGATAAATCAGTCAGATTAAACAGAACTGTACAAAGCCCACATTTGTGATTTGAACTCTGAAAAGAAATGAAAGTTTACCAAAAGACTTCATGCAAAATTTGGCAGGTCATCCTCAGCACTGACTAGCCTCAGTGTTTGCTTTAGCATTAGCTCATCTGAAGAGGTAGCTTCAGTTGATAAACCTCCTCCTTATTACTCTGTCACCCAAATCACTGGTCGCTCATCGCCTGTGAGTGTTTCTGAACTCGAGCAAACCGTTGGTTGCCATGTTTTTCCTGACGCCAAGCACAAATCTGATGCATTCCACTAAAAATCCTAAAACTTTGTGTCTGAACCACGAGGAATCCTCAAGTGATGAGTTTTGCAAAGCGGAAAAGGAGCAAAGCGGATCTTTATGGGCAGTCTGCGCTACTATCCGTATGAACTGTAGTGATGCAGTGTAGGGTTACACTGATGTGGGAATTGAGGGCTCGTGCTGATGTGTGATAAGTTTGAACTCCCCTGGCCAAATGACATGTTTTGATGATGATTTAGATGAAAATAAGTTAACATAACCTCCACAGGGAATTTAAATTTGGCATTTGTCTACAAATTTTAACATAGAAAAAATTTCAATATCTTATATTCAGCTAGCAAACAGTGAGTTTGCATTAAAATATGAAGAATATGATTTATTTGTTACAGTGTTACAGGCTGGAAGCAAAAAGTCCACCAGGTTTAATTCTTCCTTCTCAGTCCATGTAAACATTAACAGCATTAGCATTTGTCTTTAACACCACAACTAGCAAAGAGACACAGCATCAGATTTCCACATGAATGTAAGCTACTCACCAAGCTACAGTGGTGTGGGGTTCTCGTCTGTTTCTCAAGGTTTTTAAGGAAACTTCTGTGATGAAAATTTGCTGAATGGTACTTCAAACCTGTGAATTAATGAGCATTTTTTGAAATCACAAATGTAAGTTAAACTGTCCTACTGTACAGCTCTGCTTTCACATTCCAGTTGACTTTTATATGCCCCTTTTTTGAATGGTTACCTTGTGAAAAGTGACACTTGAGCAGAGATTTTCTGCCGAAGTAGAATATTTTTCTACTTGATCAACTAGAAACTCAAGTAGGGCTTTTTGTTTGAGGACTCCTCCTTGGCAGGTTAGCCTCACTGAGCTAATCAGCTAGCTTTGCAAACTTTGCAATGCAGAACATTTTTTTGAGGAGCTTAAATAGAGCCATATTTGTGAATAATTGCTTTTGTTTATTCTCTTTTGTTGTTAGCCAAGTAGCCTTTAGCATGCTTACTAGCAAGCTGGCAAAATGATGAAGTTGTATCAGCGGCCATGTATAAGAGATGGAGTAACCTAAAGCTCGGAAAACTGCGTGTCATGGTTTTGAAATGTTAATTGTTTTAAAGCAGGGGTCTTTAATTAAAATTCAGTAAGGTCCAGTTAAGGAAAATTTCCTCAAGCAAAGGTCCAGAATATCATAAAGTCTAACATACATTATGATTCAGTGCCAAATACTGTAAACTGAAGTAGCCTAGTAGTTATATCAACATTTTATGTAGTCAACAACTGAATGTCAATTCAAATAAAGCACAATTAAGTAACATTTTAACAACTTTTATTGTCAGTTTTCTCGTTTTAGAGCACACGTGTGAAGTAATCTGGCTCACTTTCTTCTCCAACTGCTGTGTCTCGCTTCATCCCTCCCCTGTGAGTGCGTCGCTCATTCGAATCATAGTGCTCATTGTAATGCACAGATCTGATTGGCTGAGTAGATCACGTGATATTTACAACACATGCGATTGGTCTGTGAGTCTCCCGGGCCGCTAAACCAGTACCGTAATGACTAGAAATGTTACGCTGATTTAGGACCACCCAGTTGAAATTAAAGAATTATCCATAGTTTACCGGTTATAGGTCCAGGTCCATAAAGGACAGCGTCAGGGTCCGGACTCGGACTGCGGTCCGCCTATTAGTGACCTCTGTTTTAAAGAATAGCTTCTAAACAGCTTTGTCTACTTTGATTTTCAGGTTTGGAAAGGGAAACGCGTCAGGTAGCAATGATTTGAGTGCTGCTGCAGAAGTCAACACCTGTGTTCGCTCTGTCCCTCAACAAAATGACCAGCAAGTGTGGATATAAGGTAAGTATGCCTAATAATGTGACAACTGAGTTTATGTAAGCTGTAAAGCTGAAGTTCCTAAGTAAAACATCTTAAACATCATGCCATCATGACTGCAAAGACTATAGAGTGCAGATGAGACAGTTATTGTGAGAGACTGGCGGTAGGACCCTGCTGACCGTAGCACACCCACTACTGGGCCTGAGGCCTGCCCTGAGCTTTTCATCCATCCAGCATTTTGAGCCATCCCTGTCATAAGTGATCAAAAAGAACCCAATTAAGCTTTTAAAAGCACACAGTCTGATCAAGACGAACGTCAGAGTGCGCACGCAAGCAGATCCCGATCCGCATCCACATACATACATAGTTCAGTGCGTGAAACACACATGAATACAATCCTTCAGAAGCCTCTCCTGTTTCAGTGCTCAGAGCGCTCCATCATGCATAAAGAACAAGGAACCCATCATCCTCCCTTTGCCTGAGCGCAGCCTTTGAATTAGAGCACAGCTTTAACGAATGTTGCATTTGATCCTCCACATGAGTCAAAATGAATCAAAGAGCGCTGCCGTTAACAGCAAACTTCACTTGGAGTTATATATGGTTCTAAGCCTTAATCAGCTTCAATTAGCTGAAAACAGCCACTTCTAATTAGGCATGGGTCCACGTTTCCTGCTTAATATGTTTTAATTAATCTTGTCCATTGACCCTCCCTCCTAGGAAGAGTTCCAGCATCACTGCTCTTGCAGGGGAATACCCTACAAACAAGGTGGCCAAGGGGGCTTGTCAAAATCTCGTCTGTCTTAATTTATTCATTTCATTTAGGCTTAATTAAGAAAATCAAGCTTAAGTCATGTTGAGATAACATCAGTGTGCATGGCACTGTGAGTGTACAGTTCAGTCTTCCCTGCTATCTGTATGAACTGTAGTGATGCAGTGTAGGGATGCACTGATGTGGGAACTGTGGGCTCATGCTGATGTCTTCATGTGCAAACTGTTGTGTGCAAAAGTTTGAACACCCCTGGTCAAATTCAATGTTTTGATGATCATCTACATGAAAATAAGTTAACATATCTTTTGCAGGGAATTCAAATTTGGCATTTATCTGCAATTTTTTCTGTTTATTTGCTGAGTTTAACATATTAGAAAAAACGAAAACATGAAATATAAAATGTGCCCTTATTTTCTTATAGTTTTATTTTTTCCTGAATATGTTAACTTCAGCAAACAAACAGTAAGTGTGCATTAAAATACGAAGAATATGATTTATTTATCCCTCACCAAGTCAACAAAGCATAATTTGACAAGGGGCACCCAAACTTTTGTATACGACTGTTAATATTTACAAATTGTAGAAATTGGCGCTGGATTATCTACGTCCTGGATTATCATTACAGAGAAATGTAATCTGCAGATGGTTCCAGTATACAGTATAATGAATAAATAGATATTTTAGTACTTCTGGAAGACAATAAATACATAATCAAACATAAGTTTAAAATTTGCTGTTGTCAGAAAAAAATCTCTGTTCTTTGACGTTTTTCAGTTTTTGACATAATTTGAAAATACCTGTTACCCTTTACATTGTGTGTAAATTTCATGATGAATGGACTTAAAAAAATGACCCCAATTGACCTTGAAAACAGTCTGGTTCCATTGACTTACATTAAAAGTAGAGTATATTTTTTCTTTCTCCTGTAAAGTCACCATTTTGGAGATACAAGGTTTTCTTCCGACAACAGCGAATTACATTTTTCTAAATATCTGCATATAAATATAAAATATAAAATATCTGCAGATACTGATGTGATTCAGATATCACTGTGCATCCCTAGAGATGTGGTCAGTATATTCTTATAGTCATATCCACCCTAAATACGGCAAAAAAGGCAGATGCTCCTTACACTGTGTGGATGATTATATTTAGCCATTACTGAGATACAACAGAGATGAAGTTCTGAATGCTTGATACATTCCAGTGGCACTGCAGAGAGTCTGCAAACAGTTAATGAGATCTGAGTGATGCACTTATATAGACGTATACTGTGTGCACACTGTCCTTCAGCTGTAGACAGTCTATATGTGTGAGCAGTGAAATTATTGTCCGGTGTTTTCTGGCCTATAGTCTGTGTGAGCGTTTGTGTGTGAATATGATGAAAATACATCTCCGTGAATCTCCAACCTGGAATAAAAGATTCAGAAGCCACACTGCATTTATGCTCATACTTTTTAATGTATCACAATGAGCAAGAAACATACTTGATGAAATATTTTCAAAGGAGTATATTCAATTACCATCTACAATCAACTTAACTAGGACAACAAGGTTTTTGTGACAAAAGTTTTCTTTAAAAGTCTGAAGTTCCATGTGGTTTATGTATGTTAGTCTCCATGTAATTTGGTACAGTTTGGAAATCTTCATCATATAATTACAGTAACAAAAAAGCTAACAAGACTACAGTATAGAAAAGACATCAAGAACAACATTTTTGGTTTAACTTGCTCTTTTTTGTACATTGCAAGGCTGTTTTTTCTACCCTCGGGTGGGCTACCTGGAGCCACTGAGCCGTGCTTGTGAGGCTCGAAGGAGGAATAATTCGAGAAAAAAAAGAAGAAAAAAACAAACAAAAATAAAACACAAAAAAAAAGCATTAAAAAAAATTGTGGCACCAGGAGTCACGAAAGGAACAGGGAGCTCCAGTAGCAGTTTGTCTTTGAAATTGGAGCTTATGTGTAGTTTTTTTTGTTTGGTTGCTTGTTAAGTTTGGTTGTTAATTTTGGTTGCGTTGCTTTTTTTTGTGTTGAACAGCTTCCTCAGGAATGACAGCCGAGAAAGCCCCTCCCCCCTCCGACAGCGAGTCCTTTTTTAGCGATGGATCGATGAGATCGGGCCGGCTCCAGGTCAGGTGCAGGCCGGTGCCGGCGGTTTGACCGGAGGACGTCGTCCGTCCATCGGTGAGACGAGCAAGAAGAAATGAAACAGGTAGCAACACCATGAACTGGGAGAAAAAAGAGGCATGTGGTACTGTCCGTCCCGTTCAGAAGTGTGGAAAATGTCCATCAAAGTAGATGCAGAACTAGAGCGAGAGAGAGAGAGAGAGAGAGAGAGAGAGAGAAAAGGTGGCCACTCCAGCCACTGAAGTTCAGCGTAACCCAGATTTATTCCTCTCCGTGTCGCGCATGTCCACTAGTTGCAGAGTCTATTCCCATAGGCAAATTGTCAGTAATTAAATAATGACGTGATATCGGAGGCGCGCCTTGTCCCTGCCTTTGGCTCCCATGCCCAGTTTTGGTGTGCCAACAGCCTTCTCAGACATTTCACTGACATCTCCCACGCTTCCCAGAGTTCAGTTCTCTTTGTTTTTCCTTCTTTGTCATTTAGAACAACAAAAAAAACAAAAAAAAAGATGTCTTCTTTAAATATATCTATATCTGTATACATGTTTTTTTTCACAGTGGGCAAAAGGATGACCTCTACAGCAAAACCTGCCTTCTTTCTCTCTTTGCAAAATGTCCACAAAAATCAAGTATCCCAATGAGAGTCGATGTATCTCAGTCGTGTGTCGTGTTGTGCCACAATAAATATACACTCACCAGGGGCACCAACTGAAATTCTTTTTTTTTACGTTTCAACTGCATTATGCTTTGGCCACATTCATATATTTCATGAAAGTAACAGTAATTGTATAAAAAGAAAACAATAGCAAAAAAACTGCTCAGTGCTTCAGCATCATTTCCTCCACGTAACAGTTATTGTAACGTTCCCAAATCTTCACCCTCGTACTGAAGATCCAGCTTTGCAGTTCTGAACGATTTTGGTGTGAAATAAAAGTGGAAAATAGAACAAAAAGTATGAAAGAAAAAAAAAAAACTCGGCTCTTAAGAAACACGCACACAGTCCATGCTGGCAGAGTTGATTGTGAGGACCCTTGTGAGGACCCTCACCAGAGCCCATAAAGAATAAAACAGAACACATTGGAAGCAAGAGATCAACAGTGTAGAAAAAAAAAAGACAAAACAGGAACATACTTACACCATAAAGTGGCCAGGTCATAGAATAAGAAAAACAAAAAATAAAAATAAACAAAAATCTGCCATTCAAATTTAAAGCTGGTGTTAAAACGTTAATTTACGTATATGAGGAGAATTTAATATACAGAACATAAAATAACATACAAATAGTTATAGGAAAATAATAAATGTCTGACCTTATCTGAAACGAAAGTCGAAGCAAAAGCATTTAAAAATAAACTATACATCAGGATTCTTAAAAATAATTATGAACAGTATTTTTCGAACAGGATTGGAGAGGAGTGGCAAGCTTGCAGATCAAATCAACCTAATTTCAACAGCATGCGCAAGTATTAACACCAAATCACATCGCTCTGCAAGACGTAACACTTTTTTTTTTTTAAACACACTTCCGAGATTGCGGCAATGTATCATGTAGGCCAAATACACTTGCTATACATCTGTGGCCGAAATAAAAATCAGAAAGCGGTTATTCACAAATTTAAACATTTCTTAGTTTTGGTAAGGATATAAAAAAAAATCTTTTTACGAAAAGGTGGTGGGGGGGGGCATTTGGATTAAACGGAACCATTCCCATCGCGATGAGTTGGAGTGAGAGACCACTTTGGACATAAAGGCAGAAACATACCTTATCACCATCCGAAACAAGGGACACCTTCAGGAAAACAAAAAAACAAAAAAGAAAAAAAAACTTTTTCCAGTCTTATAATGCTTTGGAATGAAGATGTCCCTTGGAAACCTGTAATAGACATAACGTGCATGAAAATGGCTTTACACCCTGCAGAAACCTGGGGCAAGTCCCTACGTGATTTTCCAGGAGGGGAGGCCGCCACTCCAGACTTTATTTTTTTGTTCGCGAAACAGCCTTTATTTCCTTCTGAGACTCTTTATAGATGGAGAGGCATGATGACACTAGACCAGTGAGACGTGTAAGTACCAGATGTATTACAATATGTACATTTTTGGTAACCACTATTACATGATGATCTATTTCAAGTGAGAAGAACAAAAAACAGAAAAGCTTTAACCCCGCTGCAGGGACTTTAACTCCCTACAACACGCACTTCAGAATGAGGGGAATCAAACGGTGAAGTTCAGTACACAACACCTTACAGTCACCTTAGAAATGAGAGAAAACTAGAATAGAACTCAGATTCAATAAAAAGAAAACAGAAGCTGTCCTTGATTAAGAAATCAAACGGTTGGTATTTGGAATGCACTGTTCTTTACAAACGTAATAGATCATTGGCTTTTGACATTGGTCTGCTCAAAAAAAAAAGAGAGAAAAAGACAAAAAGAAGGAACAAAAAGCAAAAAATGTCATTTGGAACATATATTCACAGTCTTCAGAGTTCCGTTTTTGCAACGAGAAGAAAAAAAATATGTCGCAGAGGCAGGGAAATGGTTTATTGGTTGGTTGTTTTTTTTCATTAAAGCTTAGCCAAAAAAGCAAAATGAGCATGCATCTAGGTATTCTTCTTTTCAAAAATCTACATTAGCAGCAAAACGTATGTCCTCAAAGACCAGACCTTATACATTTTCTTTAAAAAAAACAAAACGACGACAAAAAAAAAGGATCTCGTGTGACAGAAGAGTTAAACAAAGAGATTCTCAACTTCTATCTTACAAACTGCAATGGCTCTGTAATGGTGCTACTCCACAATGCAAGGACAAGGGTCCTTTTTTGGTTTTTGGTATTCTTGGTATTTCACGTAAAAAAGCCACCGGTCTGCTTGCAAAGAAGCAAAGACGGCAGCTCTGATGCGTACTCCTTTTATTTTAAAACTTTGTTTTCTTTCCTTAAAAACAGCAACAAATTCTCAAGTATAAAGAAGCCTCTTTTCTCATCTTTATGCACCAATGGTGAAAGTGTTTAGTCTTTGGATTTTCTTTTCGTTTTAAAGCGTGAATTATTATTATTCTTTTCATTTTCATTTATGACAACAACGAAAGAGCGTAAATTAAAAAAAAGCCTATAACAGACTGCAGCCACACTGCATGAAATACAAAAAAGAAAATCTGCTTTGCAGTGCTAAAGGAGAAGAATCTCCTAATCTACAAATGCAGAGAGGAAAAAAACAGACAAAAATAAACGAACGAACAAAGAAAGGAGGGAGTAACACAGAAAGACAGGGATAAAGTAAGTCAGACAACTGTAAGTGCACAATAAAAGGTAACACAAAGATAACTGAATAATCATTTTTGAAAACGCACCCCGGATCTCTTTTCTCTTTTTGGTCAGTGCTGCACCGACCATCGAAGGAGAGAAAACCCTCACGAAAACACGAGGGATTCTGCCAAGTCTGTCGGTGGCAGTCGGGTGAACAAAATCCAAGAAGCTGTGGATTTGACAGAAATAAAGTTTAGATCAGTTCCTGTTCCTTAATCTAGTCTATTGGAATGACCAAGACAACATCAAATGAAGCGCCTTAAGGTTGGACAATACAAAAGCTAAATGTACACAAAGATTTTTCAGTCTACCATACTGTTTAAATTCATTTCCAATGCAACAATCTACTTAACACCAAAATGTTTATATCTATCATAAATACAGAAAGTTTTTTTCCTTAAAACAAAAAAAAATCTTTTTTTTTCCCTCACCAACAAGTCTGCAATGCTCTTCGTGTCTGGGTATAGTGGGATTAGTTATTCTTCTATTTAAAAGAATTTAAAAGGTTTACAACCAGCAGTTCAGCTACCCATTTGAATGCCCAGAAAGCTATGTCTTTAAGTTAGTATCACTTCCAAATACTTTCTGTCAGTAAAAGTAACACAACAGAAACGTTTTTAAGGAACAAAATGAATAAAATAATGATTTTTTTGTAACATAAAAAAGGTTGTGAGCTGTTGACCTGAGAATAAAATAGACATTACATTATTCTTTTTTTTCTTTAGCAAGCCATTGGTATTTGAATGCTTAGATAGCAAGAAAACTGTAAGACTATTCTCCCATACAGTACATACTGGCTTTGTGTAACTGTGCTATTAGGTGGAAATACTTCTGCAGACAACGGACAGCTTGTTATCTCATTCTTTGTATAGACAGGTTCTGGGGCCGTTTGACTTTGAGGCAGTCCATTGCAATACAGCGTTCCCCTAGCAATATCCACGTGTTAACCGCAGCGTTCTTTATTAATTCATATATATATATATATAAAAATGTATATATATATATAAAGCTATATATATTTGAGTTGAAATAAACTAAAACCAGCATGTTGATATGGGAAAACAATCCACTAACGTTTAAATTTTTGGTTACAAGCTTTGGAATTGCAGTTAGTCTTTACACATCTTTTTCTGAAATTGGTTTGTATACTTTTAAACATATTTTAAACATTGCTGCTTTTTTTTTACTTCTGTGTTTTATTCTTTTTTTTTGTCTTTTGTGTGTTTTAAATATTGTCCATCACCGAAAGCTCTTTACAATCTGATGGAGTCTGTTCCTACACTAGCCATATTACTACTACAACTATCACTGTCTTTGAGACAACCGGGCTGTTGCGGCTCCTCTGCCGACCGGCCCAGCCTGTCCGCTGACTTCTGACTGCTATCAGAGTCAGATTCGTCGGTAAAGACGTCTGTTGGTATCGAGGTCTGAACCCCTGAGGTGCTCAATGAACTTGAGGTAACCGTTGAAGGTGAGGATACTGGAGGAAAAGAAGACGATGTAGAAGGAGTGGCGTTGGACTTCCCAGCTAAAGCTCTAGAGAAAGAGGCCTGGGGCCAGGGTTTGCTGGCAGCTGTGGCATTCAGGGGGGCAGCCGTGGAGGAGGAGCACGAAGATGCAGACACAGATGAGGACGGCGTGGCGTTTGACGTTGTTGGCGGGGGAGATGGGGTGTTGTTTGGGTGAGTGACAGACTGCGAGGTAGATGCGGTGTTAGGATCGGGGAAGCAGGCTGAAGAGTGAGGTAATAAACTAGTAGCGTGCTCTTTGGCATTTCTGGCTGATCGCGTGATTGTTCTGTGTTTGTGCAAGGCTGAATCCAGGTGTTGACTGAGCGCTTTGTCCCCGTCCAGAGTGGTGTTACAGGGCAGGCAGTCATAGAGGCCACCCTCGGCTGCACTGCCACTGGTGGGGACCCGAAGCAACATCTCTTGCATGTTTGCCACAGACTGACCGAAAAAGCAGATCGACTTGAGGTGGCTGATCGCCGCTTCCTCCTTGCTGAAAACAGCTTGACATTTGCGGCACGCCAGCCGGTACTGAACTTTGGGGACAATGTATTGGTCAAGAAGAGGGTCTGCACCTTTACCATCCACTTCATGCTGCTCAGGGGGTAGGTTATTGTGAGAAGAAGAGGTATCAACCGGGGGAGTGCCTTTCTGCTCCTCTGTTTTTACTGGATCTTTGGCAGAATCTTTACGGTCCACCGAGGGCTGAGAAGGGGCTGGAGTTTGGCTCGCTTTGGGTTGCTGGATTTGCTGAAGCTGCCGCTGTTGCTGCTGAAGTGCCTCCTGAAGGCTCTGCTGATATTGCTGGTAATGCTGGAGCAGGGATCCTGGTGACAGCCCCATCAGGGCCTGTGATAAAGCTGGGTTGTAGGGGAAAAGACTTTCCATACCATACATAGGCTGAAGATATCCACCTTGAAGAGCTCCTGGAATCTGGGGGGCGTAATATGGAGAAAAACCTGGCATAAAATAGGGCAGGAACTGGCTGGTAAGCAGAGCTGTTGGATCTGATGCTAAAGCGGCCTGCAGAGCTTGAAGCTGGGCAGGATCGACCACATACTCCATACCAGGAGTTGGCATCGAGGTGGCCGGAACTGCTGTGTCTGGTTTTTCCTTCTTGGCGCTGGCAGCAGAAGTGGAGGGAGCAGGAGTTCCTCCAGTTGACGATGGTGTGGTGGACTTCTCAGCCTTCTCCTTGGGCTTCTCTTTCTCCCTGGCCCTTTCAGTTTCACGCTCTTTGGGAGGATGCGGGCCTGGTTGGGTGGTCAGGGAGTTTGATGTGGATGTGGTTGTAGTACTTGAGTGGGCAACAGAAGTGCTGGCCTGAGCTGGGCTGGGGGAGGCCAATGAGGAAGAGGAAGGGATCTTGTTGGGTAAACCAGATGTTGGGAGACTAGGTGAGGGTACACTGGCACCAGGCATGTTCAGGATGTTCGGAGGTTTCGGAGGGGTTAAAGCTAAAAGAAAACAGCACAGAATTGATATGAATGAAATAGTGAAGTACAAAAGGATTATTAGTAGATACCACGGGGTTGTATTCTTCACAGAAACACTGCATAGTTTCATTACATCTTAAAAGATGTCGCTGTCGGAACAAAACCTTTTGTCTCCAAAATGATAACTTTACAGGAGAAGTAAAAACTTATTTTACATCAATGAAACCAGAACTATTTCCAGGTAATTTCTTTTGGTCCATTCATGATGAAATTTGCACACAGTATAAACGGCAACAGGCATTTTCAAATGATGTCAAAAAAGACCAAAGTGGAGATAAGAGGTTTTGTTCCGACAGCAGCAATTTCTTAATGTTTGTTAATGTAAGCTACTTTATTTATGTTGCATTTGAATGCTGTGTTGTTAATTACTGAGTCAATAGCATACCTGAATTGGATGAGTTAAAGCCAGGAAGGGAAGGGCTTCCAACACCGGGCAAGAGGACAGGGGGTATCCCTTGCAGATTTGAATAGGCTGACTGCAGATTCAGGGCTTGCAAGGCAGGACTGTCAAACATCCCTTGTTGCTGCATGGCTTGTTGTTGTGCCAGTCCAAGGACCTCATTGGCTTTCTTGATACGATCCATCTCTTGTTGGGCCATGAGTTGACGAACAGTGGCTGGGTCAAAGTACTCTTTCTCTTTGTCAAGCTGGCTTCCAATTGTATCCTTTACTTTGGAGATATGTTGCTGGGAGAAGATATGGTCCCGCACTGAGAGACGTGCACTGTACTTAACACCACACAAAGTGCACTCCGTCTTAGGTCCCTCATAAGAGGTCTGGTTGATGCCAAAGTGTTTAGCCATACTGAGTTTCGCCTTCTTTTCCTTAGCGCGAGCATTCTGGAACCAGACTTGTACGACTCTCTTTGGAAGTCCGATTTCATTGCCGAGTACCTCACACTCCAACATAGTAGGGGTCCTGTAATCGCTAAAGCAGGACTTGAGCACTTTCAGCTGGAGGTTAGTCATCTGAGTTCGGAAACGCTTTTGACCAGGCCTGTCTCCACTGTCAATGCTTCTACTACCAGATGCCCCAGGGCTTGGTGAGCAAGGATCAGCTAAACTAGATGTTTCGCTGTAATCCACCATATTTTCATTTTCAAAGTCTTTCGCATAATAACTTGTTGCAGGACTCACTAGTCCTGAAGACATCTGGTCATCATTCTCAAGAGATGGGACTGTTCCCCCAGTCTTGGACAAGAAATCTCCACTGTTGTGGCTATGCTTCGCATCAGCACTGTCATTGTCAACATTAGCCTCATCACCTGTGGTGGTATCGGTGATTGCGGTGTTTACAGAAGAACAATCATCATTATCAAGCTTGCTCTGGTCAAAGCTCATGTTTACTGAGGACATGGTTGGGCTTTCAAACTCCTCCATTCCCTCAACCTTGATAGATGTTGGACTTAAAAGTGCCCTTGGAGACAAATCCATGTTTTTACTTACAGGTGACAAGGATGAGCAGTGAGCATCACTGTTAGAAGTGCCCAGATGAGCATAAGTAGCAATATCCTGAGGATCCATCTTCATGTGCATGCCTTCCTGTTCAGATACTAAACCAGCAAGTGTTAAGTTGTAACCAGCACGCTTTGCCTCATGCCAGTGACGTGAACGGATGTGGGCTTCCAGAGCAGTTTTAGCTTTAAAGAGGGCCCGACAAAAAGGGCAACGGCGATGGGCTTGAGCTGGCCCAACAGCCCGAAACTGCCCTTTTCTTTCCCTGGCCCTGGTGTTTTGAAACCATACTTGCACCACCCGTTTTTTGAGCCCTACTTCATGAGCAATATGGTCAAGCATTTTTCGGGTGGGATTAGAGTCTAGTAAATATTTTTGGTACAGAATCTCAAGCTGCTCAGGTGTAATAGTGGTTCGAAGACGTTTATCTCTTTGTGGTTCCTCTCCACTATTCGTACTGTCATTTTCACCTGGACTAGTGCCTGCTTTCTCCTCCAGTTTCCTCTTTAGAGAGTTCATGGTGGATGTAGGAGTTGATGGAGAAGTGGCAGAGTTGCTGGGTATTTGAGGCAAAGCACCGGCAAGAGGCTGGCTAGCTAGCAGAGGATTACTAGGATCAAATAACATAAAAGACATGTTCATTGAGCGATCCAAGAACTGGGGGTGAATAAATTGGTTTTGAACACTCAGGAAATGGAGCTGCTGGTGTTCTTGCCAGTGTTCGAATGAGGGGAAGGCAAGCTTGCACTGTTCACACTGGTAAGGAATCATCTGGGCCAGCTGCTGCTGTGATGCAGTGGCTAAATGTGGATTGAGGGCCATCAGGGTACTTTGGGATGGAGTCTGGCTGGTGTGAGAGGCTGAGGCTGAAGACCCACTGTGCTGTTGCTGCTGGGAGAGGGAAGGTGAAGAAAGCTTTGTGTTCTTTGAGGCTATATGAACCTTTTCCTCTCGTGGTGGTCTCTGCGGTGGAGTCTCAGGTGGGTGACTGCTTTCCTGTTTCAGTGATGACTGCTCTCTTTGGGCCAAGGATGTTTCTGCAGAGTTTTTGGATTTCTCATCAAAAGTGTTTGATGTGCTAGCAGGGGCAGCTTCAACCTTCTCAGATGTCATGGGAGAGAAAGACGAGGAAGAAGGTGGAAGAGGGCAAAGACTTGAAGATGATGGCATCGGTGTGTGACCTGATGACCCAGAAGGCGTGTAGTATTCATGTAAGTGATCAATAGAGTCCTCGTTTTGACTGTCATATTGTCCTTCTTCATCTTCATCTTTGTAACAAAGCTTCTTTTGATGTTTAATGAGGTCAAATATGCGCTGGAAGACCAGGCTGCATTTCTTGCACTGATAGTTTAAGTTGGTAGTACGAATGTATCGATCATTGGATAACTCACGTCGTTCACCTTCTTTTGCTCCATCGCCCTGGTTCTCATAATTTTTACGGGCTTTCTGTCTGGCGTTCTGGAACCATACAACAATGACTCGAGTTGGTAGGCTCAGAAGATTGGACAGCTGCTCGAATTCATCGTCTTTAGGGTAGGCATTGGCATCAAAGAAATCTTGCAGTACTCTAAGCTGGTAGTCTGAAAACCGTGTTCTTGAGGATCTCTTACTGCCACAGGACTCCTGTCTTTGGGGTTCAGGGGAAGGTGGCTTAGAATCAATTTTGACGTCCTCCAGAGTGGTAATAGGTGGATTGTTGAAGTTGTAGGGTGAGTCTTTGTTGCGTTGTCGCTCTTTAAAAAGAGTATTCCGAAACCAGTGCTTGATGACCTTCTGTGGAAGTCCTGACTTGTCTGCCATTTCCTTTATTTGTTCCTCATTTGGTGAGTTGTTGATGTCAAAGTACTGTCGCAGAACCCTTAGTTGGTCATCTGTTATACGTGTGCGGGGTCTTTTGCTCTGTTGCTGCAGCATTGCAGGTGTGAGTTGCTGCTGATACAGTTGTGCAAGATCAGTGGCAAGACCTGGTTCAACAGCTGGCAACTGGGCAGGAATTTGAGAGGGTAGGGACTGGAGAGACATAGGCTGCATCATGAGTGGAGAAAAGAGAGGAAGATCCATTGGCATTGGAATTTGAGCAAGTGGACCTGGAGGCTGTGGGGTCGGGGCAGTTGGCGGAGTGAGTGCGGGTGCAGAGACGGGTATATTTGGTGTCGGTGCCCTCTGTGGAGGTGGCGGGGGTGGCGGTGGCGGGGGAGGAGGGGGTGGTGGGGGAGGAGCAGCCTCAGGTGTCTGTGGTCTTAGTGGGTACAACTTGTCATACTGTTCTCTATACTCCTTGGCAAATCTCTCTAGTGATCTAAAAGGGAAGAAGGCCTGATGGATGTGCTCCTGGTGACTCTTCAGGATTAAAATGTTGGAGAAGAGCTTACCACAGGCCTCACACTCCAATTTCTCCAGTCCCTCAACAGGATCAACCACTCTAGTGATGCCACCTGGCACACTTGATCCAGATACAGATCCTGTGGGCTTTCTCTGAGCTTTTTGTTTGTTCTCATTGTACTGAATCACCAGTTCAAATCCGAAATTCTCCAACAACACTTTGGTGGCATTGCCACGAGCATCTGATGCAATTCGTGGTGGAGGGAATCCAGTGTCCTGATTCACATTAGTTACAGCCTGTGGTGCATCTTTCTTCTCTTTGGACTTTGAATTGTCTGAGAGATCCTTTGGAGTATGATCCTCTGTTTTATCATTCATTTCTTTATCCTTTGGCAGCTCTCTGTCCTTCTCACTATGAGCAACTAGCGACTTTGGTTTTTTGTCTACTGAATGCGAGAGAGATGCACTCTGTTGAAGTAAAGCCATTTGGCTCGAGGCCTGGGAGTGCGAATGAGCTTGGTGCTGTTGCTGAAGGTGGTGGTGTGTCAATTGCTGTTGTAAACAGCTCTGTTGGGCTTGCTGTGCCTGGTTCTTCTGTTCCTCCAATAGTGATGCAGCAGAGCCACTTAAGTTCAGAGAACTGTTCAGGTTAATTTCTGGATTTAACTGGAATTCAGCCCCAGGGATATAGAAAGGAAACAGCAGCTGCTGCTGTTGAAGTGGCAGAAGAGCATCTGTTGTCATTGGGAAGTGCTGTAGTAGGGGGTTAAAGAGCTGGGACTGAAGTAGGGCCGCTTGCTGCTGGAGCTCTTGTTGGAGCTGGGCCTGGGCTTGTGCTTGAGCCTGAGCCAGCTGCTGCTGTTGGAGCTGCTGCTGGTGGCCTCTTGAGGACAACATGTCTGCAAACTTCTTTTTCTTTACATCCTGGTTCTCAGAGGGAGAAGGATGACAAGCTGAGTTAGACATGCTCTCAAGGCTGTGAGACTGACTAAGGTGGTTTCCTCCCAGGATGCTGTGTGCTGTCTGAACGTTTGCTGGAGAACAGCTGTTGTTGTTAGAGCTGGTTGTTGAGTTAGTGGGTGGGACAGGGCTGGGGGTGGAAGTGCTGTTAGAGGTGCCTCCACTTAAACTGCCACTGCTGACAGAGCTGGAACTGCCACCAGCTGCTTCAAGTTTGGCTGCCCTAGCTTTAGTCTGGTGGAGGACAGAGCGCATATGAATCTCCAGTGTAGAGCTCTGGCTATATGCAACATTGCAAGTGCTGCACTTGAAGGGCTTATTATCAGGGCTGCTGGTTGGCTCTGGCTGACCTGTGGTGGATTCCTGCAGGGCCCGTTTCACCTTGTGCAAGTGTGACACAGAGTTATAATGCACGAGAAGAATATTCTTCTGGGTAAAAGACTCTTTGCATACTGTACACTTGAAAGGACGAGAAGGATCTAAGAACTTTTCCATGGTGAAATTCGGACCTTTTCTAAACGGGAGTGCTCGCTTGGGCTCTGATCCAGAATCCTCTTGCAAGGATCCTGAATCACTGCCTGTTGGGCTCTGTTTTTCCTCAGGATCACTCTCTTCTCCTTCTTTCTCATCCTCAATCAGACCTGCTTGGTCTTCTCCAAGCGAAGGGTCACCCATAACCATTAGGTCTCCATTCATTAGCAAGCCTCCATATAGTTGCTGAATGTCAGCTTCGCTCAGTTCAAGGTGACTAGTCTCCAAGTGCTTCTTCAAGGCCTGTAGAGTCCTGAAACTCCGCTGGCAGAGACAACACATGGTAGCTGCTCGGATAACATGATACTGGGAATGCAGCTGCAGCTTCTCTATCGTCTTGAATGCCAGACTACACTGGTTGCAACGGTACTTGTAGACGTGACGATCAGAGACTGGCAGCTGAGGCCTTTTGTTGTGGACCTCATTGAAGTGCATCTGAAGCGCATTAGAGGATTTGAATACTTGGTTACAGCCTTTCTTCCAGCATAGGAATCCAGTAGTGTCTTCTCTTGACGGCTGCTGATCTTCAAGAGGTGACTTGCGAGCTTCAATTATATCTGTGGCCATAGAAATTCCTTTCTCAGGCTCAACATCTGTAGTCTCTGTAATGAGAAACAGGAACACCTGTCAGTATTCTAAAACTACACTGTTTATGTGTAGATAAATAAAATGATTACACTGTATTTGAATCATTGTGAACTCATAATGTTCACATGAATACAGAAAATACACTGGTATTCATCTTTTACAAATAAACGGCAGATATCCCCCCTCTACCCAGACAAAACACTTCAACATTCTTACCTGCTTGTTTCTTTGTGTCATCAGAGGTTGAGTTGGACAAGGATGTATTTTGAGCCTCTCTCTCTGGTCCAGGGACTGGTATGAACATGCTTGCTGGCAGCGCCTCTGACGTTGCCACCTGGAAAATAAAACACAAGGTGTGTCGCAGGTTAATTAAGGGCCTTTAACTACAGCCTCTGTTTGGAATGCAAGAATGTATTTTTATCATCACTAAACAGATCAGCAAATTGCACCTTTTCAAAGAAAAAAACAGCTTTTTCTTCATTAAATATTCAATACACAGTTCTTACATATAAAGGTTTGGTCAATAAAAGGTTTTGTATATATATTCTTTTCACTCAAACACATGCACTCATAGAATTCCTCTCTCACACGAAGACTAATCACATTATTTCTTTTCTACTTTATTTGCCACTCTAAGAATTTGCACTTTGATCACTCATGGTGTTTTGTCACAAGCTGGGAAAGTTCTGCTGCAGCCAATTAGTGTGATGGGCTGAGAAGCCTACCTTGGCCAGCTGAAAAGCTTATTAGGGGGCCTAATTAAATAATTCCTCCTCCTCATAAAAAGTGTATTCCCATTCCAGTGCAAGCTCGAAGTACAGAAATGCACGTCACTGGCACAGGAATTCTGGGTAATTCACTACTGTCAATTTAAGGACATATAACCACATTCCACTTAATTTGCAGTGCTCATTAAAGCCTTTTCAAGCTGGAATATTATCATTTTAAAAAATCTAATGCAAATTAGGGTATATTGCAAACAGTATGTAAAAACTTAGTAAGGGCATTAAATGCAGTTTACTTGTGTACAACAGTGAAATCTTTTTCCAACTGATTTAATTTCAGCATTTGCAAAGAATATTGATTAAAATGTGCACAACTGCAGCCAGGTTTTGCCTTGCACTCAAAAGGGTGAAGTCAATCATGTGTGAATGATAGCAGCATTCCCTGTCTTTTCAAGCGCTATTCTCTGTACATGCATGCCCCCTCACTTTCTCTCAATCGCGCTCGCTCTCTCAGAAAAAAAAAGATTACAATTCATCAAATGCTCTCATTAACCAGCTCCTATTTAACAATAATCAGTGATTGAGATTGGAAGAGGTCGGGAGATGAGGCACTGTCTGCTTCACCTTCCTTCAATTAACTCCCCAAACAGAACAATCAGCCTCACTACCCATGCAGCATTTCAATTCTTCCATCCTTCTGACCTCCCTCCTCCTCCTCTTTCTCATTCTTCCATGTCTAATTCCTATTCTCACTCTATGTTTATGCCCCTGTGTCTCAATCCCCTTTTCCCTCCTCATCTCACCATGATCTCCATCTTACAGCACTTAATGTGTGTAGAGACCCTGCCCTGCCTGATTAAATTAAAAGATGCATCATTCACAACAACAGGACTTCACATCACTCAAAGGCGATACTGCATTCTGTACATTTTATTCAAATTCTGTTTTCGTTTTTGCCCAGATTTTCGTGAGAAAGACAAGGAATCGTTAGTGAAACATACTAATCACAGTAATTCTATCCACTCGCATGGAGCGCACGGTTTAATCCAGTTCTTCTCGAAAATATAATTACAACTTCAAGTCCGCCAGAGGCAGTAAAACGTACACATACAGTGCACTAAAGGGATGCTCCTAAAACAACAACTGCCACATAAAAGCACGGTCATCAGCCTGAACCAGAGCGCATGAAGAACACAGTCCTCCAGCAAGAGCTTCTTAGTCAGGCTTGAGGTTAAGTGGAGCTGTTAAGATAGCCTTGTCCGTCACAATCTGATTAGCGCATTCAGATTCACATGGGGGGAGAAAAATAAGGAAAGAAATGCAGTCATTTGATTTCTTACTTTTATTTCTCCCACAGTCTCCTCCACACTGAAAGCAGTAAATTAATGTCACCAGTGTGGAGGGTTGCAAAAGCGAAAACAGCAGTGATTTACATTACAAAGTGGACTGTTTCTAGACAAGTGCTTCATTAGAAGACGAGAGCCAAGCGCAGAGAGTATCCCAAGGTCACTTTTAATTTGGACCGCCTAATTGGCAAACATAGTTCCAAATGGCTATCATCTAGCCAGACTGAGAATTAATGAAGCACAATTATTTTCATTACCCCTATCTAAGACAGACAGAAAATGAGACACAGAGTGAGAGAGGGAGGGAGGGATTGAAAGAGAGAGAGAAAAGAGAGAGGGGGGAGAGTGAGGAAAAGGAGCCAAATAATAATAATAATAATAATAATTTAAAAAAAGAGCAAGTGCATCTTTATGCATCATCTGCAAGAAATAAAAGTCACGTAGTTCAGAATTCATTAAGAGCGCCTGCCTGACATGTGCAAAGGGATAAAGTATCTCTACTTGTAAAAAGGTGCTGGTTTTAATGTGCATCGTATTAGCTGTGTTTCCATCATACGCCACCCTTGTAGGGGCACCGGGTGCATTATCATCTCTATAAAAGAAAAAATATTGCTACCTGCTCCTAATAATGCATTCATCATTTGCGTCTTGGCTAGAAGGCAGAGACGACTTAACTGCGTTCAGATGCAGTTTCTTTGAACGAGTGGCCAGCAAGCAATTCAGCTCCACGTGCAAACATAAACATAATTATTTCACCACTGCCAATTTGGAAAAAACAGAGCCATAAAGGCAATGCAATAACGCTCCTCTGTAGCGTTGATGGGTAATGCAACAGAACAAGGTGAGTTGCCTCAAAGGAGTTAAGAGGAGGCGACTGATGGAGGCCTTGGTGCTCCGGGATTACAGAGCTGGTGGCAAATAAGTTAAAACGGATGATGTAAGTGTTACTACTTCATATGAAAGAGTGTCCAGGATAGGAATAACCCCGATAACCACATGATCCTTTGTGAAATCTTCTTAAAACTCATGCAAATATCACAGTGTCTTCCTGCGGCATTATGTGCCACTCTCTGTGTAGCAAAATTATTATATGATTACAAAACCTGTATATGTTGTATGATCTCTGATGGAGCCAGCTTGACATTCATACTGCAGCAGCAGGGGATGCAGGTAGGGGGTTCAATATCATAAGAGCGCACCCTGTATTTATTAAACACTGTAGCATTGCTGCTTTCAATATTCACCTGAGAACAAGGCTGGGAAGTCAGAGAGTACATCTAGATAATAATATTTGCATTGTCTGGACTCGCATTTCATTAGAGGACGAACAAAAAAAAATCCTATTCATTAAATTTCAATTCATCTGTGTCCCAATTACTGGAATATATTAGTGATTGGAGTGCTTGTTTTTTCTGAATTGCTCTAGAGTGATCACCGAAACAGGAGGAATGTCAAGCCAGGGAGAGACAGAATGGGGAGGGGGGGGAGGAACTAATTATCAAACTAGCAACAGAATTATCAGGCAGGAGCAACAGTGTGTCTATATCTTGCCTTCTTTCTTTTACACACGCATGCCTTCTCTCTCTGAATTGACCGTGATATCATAATGAAAGAGGGGGGGGAAAGGGCTCATCAACAACTGGCATGTCAGTACAGCTGCTGGAGCAGAGCATCGCCCAGCTGTCCCAAACCTTTTCGCCCTATTATATCTGACTCGCAGTGAGTCAACAGGACGCCCAGGGGCCATTTCGCGATTAACAGTTTCCGTTTGTGTTTTGATTAAGCCTCAAATGTCATCAATTAGAGGGAAAAAGACAGCCCAGACAACCTCCACTCCGTTAAGGCGCGGTTAGCAAGAGGCAGTGAGTCACTCGTGCTCTTACAGCTGGGTTCGGCCCCTCACGCCATCGCCACAGGGGGGCCAGGCCACAGAGGGCCTTTGTGTACAAGCACACAGCTTTCTTACAAACAGGTAGACAAAAGAATGGACTAAGGAGGCCTTGTGTGCGCTTCTTTACCCATTGATGCTGTGACCACACAGGAGTCTTTACGGACACTGAAGGTTTTAAATTAAAATCTACTCCCACTGTTGATGGGATGACACTTACAATGGACTAATGCCATGACATTTGCCCCACCACTGTGAAGCTAGTGTGCTTGAATGATCATATGGATTTGTATTTTGAGGTTATATTTGGAGCAGGAGGTCAGAAGGAAATAACATTCATCTCCTGCGTCAGAAAACCAAGTAGCTCTGGCCACTTCTGAGAAGCACTACATTGCGTACTAGAATGCTGCTCCAGTGAGGGCAACTAATAAGCATGTACTTGCAGTACAATCGTAATTATAATGTATTAGAAAACCATCATGGAACACAAAAGACCAGGTTTTTAATAACATCAGGTCATACAGTTGAAATGGCAAATAAGTGGGGGTGCATGATCAGAATCAGCTGATATTAACAGATTTTTTAAGTTCTAATTATATGAAGCAAATAAAGTAAGCAAAGTACTACATACTGCATTTACTCTGTTGCTCGTTGTTACTTTGGCTAATAAAAAGTGCTAGAAATTAAGGATGGGAATTAGAACCCTAATCCTTACGCTTACTTTGGGTATGTTTAGTGTGATTTCTAGCTTTTTACTTAATATACAAGGAATTTGTGACATGAAACATACAATTATATGCGAAAGTTTAGGTGGCCTTGGTCAGATTACAGGGTTGTTGATGTTCTAAGTGAAAGTACACATCCTCAATAGAGAACATACTTCTGCATGTAACACACTTCTTCATTTTAATGCACAGTCGCTGTTTATTTGCTGAATTCAACAAGTTAGGCCTGTGCAAAAGTTATTGCACATTTTATATTTTATGTTTGTTTTTTCCAATTTGTTAGGCTTAGAAAATAAATAGAAACTGTGCACTAAAATTCACAGAAAAATGTCATAGTTAAGTTTGCTCCCTGTAGAGGATATTTTCCCTATGAAAAATCAACAAACCGTCATTTGACTGGGGCTGTTCAAACTTTCGTATATGACTTTATATGCATTCGTACTAGAAATGTGCTGGGATCTGTAAGATTTCCTTATAAGCCATTTCAGTAGGACGAGGAAGTGCACATCTGCGCAAGCGTTAGACTGACTCATGAGCCTGGGTGTTTTATATTAGTGTGTTTGGGTAAAGAGCCATAAACAAGAAACGGCTAATAAACATAGATGTCCAATGTGAAATTCACGTTCAGTGCACCCCTTATTTTTTTTGGTGTCACTTGAAACAACTGTAATAACCCACTGAACTTGAGGAGTGTGATATCTATGGCAACTGACATACACACACACACTGCCAAGTAAACCCTCGCTGCAGGGAAGTGGACACTCACAGTGGCTATTAGCTTGTCGACGCAGTCCGGGGCTACGCTGTGCAGGTGCGTGAGGTGGAACTGCAGGTGGATCTTGTTGTTGAGCATGTCCTGGCACAGTGGGCACCGCAGCATGGGCTGCACCGAGTGCTGGGTCATCACGTGCATCCTCAGTCTGTTCAAATCCGTATTCGTGAACTTACAGTAGGGGCACTGGTACATCTGGCAGAGAGAGAGAAGGAGAGAGAGAGAGAGAGAGATATTAGCCTCTCAAACGGAGCAGCTAAACAAGAGTAAAACGCCCCTCCTGTGCAGGGAGCAGAGGGTTAGCCGGAGAGGCCTGGCACACACTTCAAAGGCCTCTCATCTGTCAAATATCATATTGATTTTCCACCTTTTGCACAATTAGCGATGCAAGAGCAGTGGAAAAAAGAGGGAGAAATATAATCTTCAGGAAAAAAAAGCATACATAATGCAAAAAGGCCAGCTTTATTCTGAAATGGCAAAAATATCCCAGGAGCTACATTCTAGCATATTTTCTTAATTAACAGGGAAGAATAATGAGCTTTTGTGAACCTTGAGAGGTCACATAGTGAATGACTTCAAGAACTTAAAGTTGTTCTTTATACTTTAAATATATGGGCATCGTTCTCACCTGCTCTCCAGTGCTCTTCTCGGCCGTCCTGGGACGTTTGGAAGAAAGAGGGCTCTCTGAAGCCCCAGACCTTGAAGGAGGCCGCTTGGAGGGGATCGGTGACTCTGTCTGATCCCTCTCTGACTGGCTGGCTGCTGCTGCTGCTACACACACACAAAGGGAAAGAGAAACCACACGTGAGTCAGGACAAGGCAGGCAGTTGGCAGTCAATATCAGAGTAAATAAAGGCCTTTACAAGGTCTTTTTCAAACATGATATGACCATATTTATCAGTAGCAGAGTAGGCCAGCGAATGATCAGGCTACACAGGCAGCTCCCCCTCCGACCCAGTGCCGTTTCCACTGCTCCGCCCATGCCACTGAACAGAGACGCGATGCGGGCGGTCTGACGGCCTGTCTCCACAAATGTTGGATCGTTAGGACATCAGACGCTGGCATAGACGTCTAATCAAAACATTAGTTTGCCACTGCGAGCAGCTTTGGCTTCCATGCGCTCTCTGACATGGGCGTTTGAAGTGCTGCTTCAGCTGACGGATTCGCCCAACTCCACACAAGGCGAAAACATTTACGCACAACCTTGTCAGGTTTTAAGGTAAGAAAGATGCATCGCACCTAGTTCTTTTATCTATTCAGGTAGTAAGACCCCCCTACACTTCTAATTTCTACTTCTGGAGGAAATAAGATGCATTCTTTTTAATCTAGATTTCACCATGTTCCCTTCTGCAACTTTACAGAAGTAACTTTTAAAGAAATTCAGCAGGAAAAATGGTGTAAACATGATATAACTAATAGGCCCCTACCTATTAACCTAATAAATGCCCTACTACCTAATAAATGTTCTTAAATGTTTCTTGGTTATGGTTCTGGGGGAATAAATAATTCAACTGGGAATCTTTGCATTCCGTGAAACTTTAACAAAGTTCTTAAGCTTGTTTAGGAAACCTAAAGCATCCAGAGACCCCTTACTTTTAAGAGTGTATACGTGGCCTGTGCATTTCATGTGGCTTTGTGTAGGACAGCGCAGACAAAAGGTCAGCTCTGCAATCTAAACAAGGTACAGCAGAAAAAAGCTACTATGCTAAAAGGCCAGATACAACCCATTACCATCAGCATGCAGCAGCCTGGCTATGGCAGCGCGAACCTACGGCATGCATTGTTGAACAAAGGACGGAGGAGAGTAGAAAGGGCAGTAATTGGCAGGTGCTTGCTCATCTTAAACTGAAATCCCTCATTGTGCTAGCCACAGACTGTCACCGAAGTCTCTAATGTGCTCTCCTAGCTTGGCAGAACATTACAAGCGGCTAATCCTTTTAATGCAACCTGCACGGCCATTAACAATGCACTGCACCCTCTTCCTCCTCTCCATCTCCACAGAGCGAGGCCAAATAACAAGAGGTTCATAGCTCAGCTAACCAGCGAGCGATTCCAAAGTGGAGAGAGAGAGAGAAGAGAGAGAGAGAGAGAGAGCTCTAGGTGCGGCACAACAGAGAAGCATGAGAGAGCTGATTAAAAATACTCGGTTAAGCTAGAGGCTCATAAAGGAGCTAAATCCACCCAGAGCAAGAGAGGAACCGCATGGAGCAGCCTCCAGTGGAAAGAATCCACTGTGAAACTTAAGACGCCCTCTCTCTCCATGGCCCTTAACGAGGCTATAAAGAGTTAAATTTGGCCTGATTTGTCCAGTCCTGGAAGGGCAAATTGAGAGCAGGGGAAAAGTGTGTGTGTGTGTGTGTTGGTGGGGGGGGGTCAGGTTAAGCAGGGCTGACCACGCTCCTTCTGCAGACATTAAAGTGTCAGGTCCAATCAGGGCAGGGGCAGCTGAGCACCGGGCGCAGTGGGGGCCCCCTGCTTTGGGCAGAGCGGCCTGCTGCAGCTCCCACAGAGTCGCCACACCAGCCAGCGTGGCCTTATTAGCGTCCAGTCACTGCCAATCCCATTAGACACGTCCACCAATACACAAAGGAAATGTTAAACAAAGGAACCTCCCATTCGCTGCCATTAACCTCCATGCTCTCTTGCCGTACTGTCCTTGCCACTTCCTGATCCACTCCAGTCCGCCCCGCCTCTCTCTCTCTCTCTCTCTCTCTCTCTCTAGCTCTCTCTCCCTCCTAAACTGATAAACTGCACCGTCTGCCTCTTTATATGCCCCTCCTCTGCTACTTGTCCTTCCACATTCACAGGGTCTTCAGCAGATCCCCTTTCAGGTGCTAGCCCCTGTGTGAAATCCTAGCTGTTCTCCTAAACGGTTCCCTCTCTGTCCGGGTGGAAATCCTCATCCATGCAGAGATACACACAAAGCAGCACATTTAGGGGCAGGCTGTACTAGTTCAGAGCTAGGAAAAGCCATAAGGAGGCAGCTGGGCTAGGGCAAACTAGACATAGAGAGTTAGCTTTGGTAGGACTAACAAAAAAGGCCTAGAATGAAGCCAATAGGGGCATCACTACCATAGCACAACCATGTATCTTCTAAACTGGAACTTTATAGGAGAAGAAAAAACATTGCTTTTAATGTAAGATAACAAGAGTTTATGCTTGCAGTAGTCTGGACCATCTCTGTTGTTCCATTTGTCATTCAATGTTCACACAATGAGGCTGCTGTTTTAAAAAGGTAGAAAAAAAGTCCCTAGGTTTTCAGCCTAACAGATAAAAAGGGGCAAAACAAAACAAATACACAGTATATCATCACTGTTTGCCAAAAAAACTTTTGAGAAGAAGGAAAAAACAATTTTTTCTTCACTTTCAATGTAAGATTTTATTACAAGCAATTCTGGTCTATTTCTATCAGTTCATTCACCATGAAACTTTAACACAATGTAAAAAGCAGCTGGAAATTTTAAATAAAAAATGAAAAACAATGGAAGAAATGGAGGTTTTGTTTAAACAGTGAATGTATGCACAGGGGAACACGGAAGCTATGCTATTAAAAATGAAGCTGTAGTAAGTTCTATTGGTGACACTTTATTAGGAGTGGTCCTTTGTAGATGAGTACATATCAGTGAAGTATCAGTAGTGAAGCATCTGAATACCCTTAAGTAAATATATTGTAGATGTTCTGTTGATACATTACTTACATTAAGTAGATGTGTTGTTAATATGTTACTTCCATTACACAGAACCTAACCTTACCAACCTTACCCAACCCTAACCCTCACCCTGGCCCTAATCCTAACCCTCACCTTAACATCAACCCAAAACCTAATCCTAACCCCTCACGTTTGACATGTTACTGAGAGTCTGTTAAATGTTTGTTTCATCTAAAAAGGACCACTGAAAATAAAGTGCCACCGTTTTATTGGCCAAAGTTTCTTTGTAGATTTTATTTGTCTTGTTTCTAATATAGAGAGTTTGGATTTGCAGGTCAGTGTGATCTCTGGTAGAGGTGGAGGGGAAGTAGGGTGTGGTCTACCCAGCTTTGGATGCTGCCTCACCTTGTAACGCCCTGTTAGGACTCCATAAATCTGTTCAGTTGCTCACTTCAAAAAAATGACCCCCCCGCCTCAATATACCATACTGTGACTAAAGTTTAGCCACCGTGACGTGTTTTCTGTTGTCAAGAGACAGAAAAGAAAAAAAACTCATATGGAGTCCACTGGAACAAAAAGGCCACCGATAAACAGAGAAAGAGGTGATTGTTGGATCATGCGATGCGCGTGTGCAGCACGGTTGGGCTGGCACAACAACACGGCTGACCAGGTCAGATCCATTAACTAAGACCATGACCAGAAGATAAGCTTTTAACAGAAGGATTCTCTCTCTGCCCTCCCATAGGAGCGAGGGTGTGAATGCGTGTCGGGTTCAGGATAGGGCTAAACGCAAGCGGTATAAGAGCCTGAAAGGACAGTGACTCTAAAAGGACATAAGCTTTAAACATCCTCAGTGCTCCCAAACATGGCACACTTTTAAATATAAAGGCTCTAAAAAGAACAAAAGAACCACTTTAGTTGGTTCTTAAAAGAATGGCTGAAGGTTCTGTACTGATTACGTATTTTCTTTTCATAGAACCAGGGAAAATGGAGGAATCTTTGTGTAAACCATTTTAAGTGTGTCCAAACTTCTGTGAGGTTCTTGTGAGCAAACAGCACCAATTTTTTAAAACCTGGAGAACAACATGCTTTTATTTCAAATACATGTTTGAAGCTGTGGCTAAGAGCACCCCATAGCTTGATCCTCACAGCTCCTCCTATGCATGCAGTCCTTGTCCCACAGAGCCCTTCCAAAATCCTTCATGGTTCAATGACGCGCTCCTCCAATCCTTGCTTCACCACTAAACACTAGCCTCTCCTAACATTCAGACCCATTCAGAGAGCAACAACAAGGCCAGGACTTTCCTCTGACAGCGCAAAAGCCAAGACAAAAAAAAGAGAAAGAAAGTCTTAAAAGTCAATTAGGTGATTATTAATTCATGGGCCTTTTCCGTAAACGGGAGGCCTTTGTGCTGGCGAGTCCCGTAAGTGAATTGGACTTTGGCACCTTCTCTCACCTCCTGGAGCTGGGCTGTATTTCTCAGCCAAGACAAGGGGAGGATGGTGGAGGTGGGGGGGCAGCTTGTCAGCAGAGTCTTGGTTTGCTGGAGCAATTTAAAGAGTGTGTCGCTCTTTGAGGGAGAGCAGAGCGGGGTGTACCGAGAGATTGCAATGTAAAAGAGTGACTAACACAACACAGCCTGTGCTACTGGAGATCATCCAGGAATGCACAGCTGCCCAAAAGTCACTAACCTACATGTCCTTGGGAAACAGTATTCTGAGAATAGGGGCTGACTGGGTGCCGCAAGAAAAGGAGAGTGGGTGAAGGAAGAAGAGGGTAGAACGTTTTCTTTGGCATGATGGGTAGGAAAGCTGAAAAAGACTGCTGTGTGGAACCAGCTAACCCAGCGTGGGCGAAGTTCCACTGACAAGCAGGCCTGGGAAACTAGCATCGCACTACTTTTAGATTAGTTCAGTTTTTTGCCTGTTTTAATTGTAGCTTATTTTCAGGGCTGCACAGATATGGGAATTATGGGCCTATATTTGATGTTTTTGTGCATATCTTTTGACGGCGATACATTAACCTTTATAAAATGTATAAATTGGGACCTCTATCTGGATTAACACTGAAGCATTTATTTGTAGAGGGTGCAGTAAAAGAATACAATGCAGATATTTTAG